CAAAATCTAATTTCCTGTGATTCACTTGCTAGCTGTCACTCTTGCTCATGCTTTTTGTGTGGGTTCTCCAATCTCTAATACTGTGACTGATAATATTAAATTCCAGATGTCAATCTCTTGGGTAGTATAAAGCAGCACTGATCATGGGCAAACTCTTCATGCTTTCTGTTTTCACTGAACCTTGTGAGAAGCAGCCACAAAAAGGTTGTGCCATGATCATTTCATTTCTACAGAGTGTGTCAAAACTGGAGCAAACCAAAGTAGATTGTTACCAGGAGAAAGACAGCTCAGCAGAGATGCTGTAAAAGAAGAAATGAATGCAATGAGTCCTAGAACTTGAGCACTGTGACTACAGTAGTTTTTGATTCCTGGGAAATGTTGATTCTTGCCTTCTGGAGATGACCAGAGGAATTAGAAAACCTGTGGAGTTTTATTGACTGAAAGAAAAAAATAAAGAAGAAAGAAGGTGCTTTCAAGAGCTGCAGAATTAATGACATCTATTGATCTCTTGACAGTAAGACCCCACATGCATGATGTCCAGTAAGGGGTGAGCTGACGTGAATTGTCCTCCTCAGTGGAGTATTGATAGCTTATGTTTAATTTGGGAAAAAAGAAAAGCAAAAAAAAAAAAAGCCAGGAACTGTTCTCCAATCTTGAGATCAGCCGATGACAGATTCACACCTAAGCTCTATGATCCCCCAAGCCAGGCTAGTTCCCTCTCCATGCATCTCTCCTACCTGTGTCCAACATTGTCCGGGGCAGCACTATCTGACCTATGGCAAAAACATGTTACGGACCACGGTTACATTGGAACAGAATATTATCACGTACCAAAGCTCAGACACATGGCTTCAGTCTCTCATTTATTTAGTGTAAATGTAACTACAAGGCCATTTTCCTCTATGCAATCATAGTAACTTACAGAAATTTGACGGTTATTCTAGGAGAAAATTCAAGTTGTATTTCTTTGGGAGTGGCAGAATACTTTATTATATAAAATACCATAGCTGGAAGAAGCAGCAACAGTTTGGGGCACTCATCCATCAATCCATCAGATATGGAACTGAAGCAGCAAACTTATGCCAAGGAAAAGTTGGGGAAAAAATTGCACTATATTTAAGTTAATTTTGTTAACTCCAAAGAAAAGTGGCATTTCCAACAAAGCCTCGGTAATACTAAACCTCATCAACAGTTTTCAGTATATTTTGTCTCCTCTTTACCATCTTATCTCTTGCTAAGAACAAAATTCAGACCAATTTTTTTAACCAACAGATTCACAACAGCTTGTGCTTTGAGATATGTTTGGCAGTATGTGTCTGACAGGATTCTTTCCCCCTCCTAGAAAAGTTCTGCTAAATATTCATATATTTACCACTGAAAGAAACCTGATTCTTGGCCAAACCGAAGCTTGTTAGCAGACAGAGCAGGAGGGCTCCTTCCTCCCTGCTGCACCTCTGATTCCCACAGGTTTTCCTTCACACCTGGTCTCTGCAGATGCTCTCAAACCCAAGTTACTCCACCCTGGAAATGGTTTATAACCTGAGATATTGCCAATTCATTGCATTTCTTTGAAAAAATGTCTTTTAACTTTACTGTAGAATTTATAGTTTGTGGCAGTTTCTTACAGTGTTCAGCACCATCTGTCTATCAGAGGTCTGAAAAATATCTGTGCTTTTAAAAAAGTTCAAAATAAACCATGAATTTTTCTTTTAAAAAAATTGTTCTTTTGACAGAGATCTCACAATTATATTTGTTATTAATGAAAAGCACATTTAACTTTTTTCCAAGAACAAAAATTTGTTTGAAACACAAAGAAATAATTTTGAGACAAAAATGAGCAGATGAAACATTGTTGAAGAATTTAATTTGTCTAAGAACATTTTCATTAAGAACTTTTATAGTCTTGCTTTCTGCTGAAACATTTTTTACACAGATGTTAGCCTGGTGGGGACACAAAGTCACAGGAAGGGCTCTGATTTTTCTGGGTACTCAGTACCAGACGCTGACAAGCTATTTGTCAGGGTGGATGTGTGGGGACAGAGGTGGGAATGAACTTCTGTGGAGGTGGGATCTGTCATTAAGAAGCAGACTGTCAGTACCTGCTTCAGAAAGGATGGCTGGAGGTGTTGGAAGGAGCCTTGGAGGTCTCCAGCCCAACCTCCTGCTCAAAGCAGGGGCAGCTCTGAGGTCAGACCAAATGTCTCAGGACTTTATCTAGAGTAGTCTTGAAAACCTCCCAAGATGGAGGCTGCATTGTCTCTCCTGGCAACCGACTTCAGTGCCTGACTGTCCTAATAGGGAAGAAGTCCCTATTTACACCCCGTCCAAACCTCTTTTCTTTCAGCTTAAGCTCACAGTCCTTAATCTTCCCACCAAGCAGTACTGTGAAGAGCCTGGCTCCATCTTCTTGATGACCTCTCTATAGGTATTGGAGGTGACCTTAGTTGTCCTCCCCTCAAAGTCATCCCTTCTCCAGCTGAACCAACCCAGTTCTCTCAGCCCTTCCACTCCAGCCCAAACCATCATGCTGGCTCTGCATGGAACTTGCCCCAGTTTATAAATTACTTCCTTGTACTGGGGAACTCAACACTGGACACAGTACCCAAACATAGGGTAACAAGTGCTGAGAAGCTGTCTCTTAAGCAATTGAGTGCAGAATCATAGAATCATTTTGGTTGGAAAAGACCTTTAAGATCATCAATTCCAACAGTAAAGCTAACACTGCCATGTCTACCTCTAAACCATGTCCCTAAGAACCACATCTACATGTCTTTTAAATACTTCCAAGGATGGTCACTCAACCACTTCCCTGGGCAGCCTGTTCCAATGCTGGACAACCCTAATTTTGTTTTACTAATATCCAATCTAAACCTCCCCTGGCCCAACTTGAGGCCATTTTCTCTTGTCCTATGATCACCTTACCCTTGACCATAATGAGCCTGTCATGGTGTGTGAGATGTCTCTTTGCCCCCTGCTCACTCTATCCCCCTGCCAGTGGCTGCTTCCCCTAGCCTGCAGCAGCAGAAAATACATATATGCACTTTAGCTGCACCAGGGCAGAGTGGGCTTGACAAATAGCAGTAAAAAGGAGCAGTAGAAGGCCAGTGACATGTTCTCTTCTGCTTCCCCAGTCGTGGAGGATAGTAGCTTCCAGTGGACAGGAAGGCTGGAGAATATCAGCTCTCATGTAAAGTACTTCGGCCATAAACTTCAAAGTGCTTCCCAAAAGGAGGTTGGATTACTATTCCTGTTATACAAATGAGGAACCTGAGGAAAAAGAGAAGGAAGCGTTATGACCAAATTCATCTAGCAGCTGCTGGCAGGGGCAGGCAGGGACTCCGAGCGCTATCCATATATTGTGCTGCCTCTCAGAGCAGGGACCAGTCCCTGCCTGCTCCCCAGGAGCTCTGCTACACCATGGCAAATTCCTACTGGGAAACCAGGCTGGTGACACAATAACAACAGCCTTGAAACCATGGAGATTTATGGCTTCAAAGCAGAAGTGCTGATCAGAAATACCATGAATTAGTCATAATATTATCAAAAATATTTTATTTATGAAAGTAACAATTATACTATACAACCTATATTGGAAGTACATTGAATAATTGCTAGAATAAATACAGGCAATTAATTCAATCTTTTTATAGAATGAGAGGATTTATTTGACATTTGAAAGTTAACCCAAGCTTTAACTTACATCATAAATAGTTAAAAGGCATAGTCAAGTTTTTTTTTATTTTTACTGTTTCTTTTGTTTTTTTTAATACTGTTCTATTTTGTAATCAACATGAATTAACTCTCCACTCATTAACATAATATTAGTATGACTTTCAAGCAATCATGTACCTCAAGATAATCAGACAAATAAGGTAGTGTGTGTGCAGTTCATTCTACAGCAGAATCTATTCATGTCTGCATAAAAAAAGAGAAGCTGAAAATGCTTCTAAGTTCTTTAAGCATCATATGCTGATTTCTGCTTTACCACAGTGCTTTTAACGCCAGAATCTAAAAAAGGGCATGTATCTGTATGCAGCTGGCTTCCTGTCCTTCTTTATAAAGTATATTAGGGCTCAATGCCACATTCCTTTGGCTGGTGAAGGACTGCAGAATTTAGTCCTGGGTATTATTTCTAAAAGCCATGGTCCAAAATAAATGACCAAGACTGATTATTAAGCACCAAGGAAGTGATGGATTTGCTAAGACTTGATGTTTTTTGATAAAAAAAATTGGCTTCTTTTCTGGTAGATATGCTTTAGTCAAACAGAAGTTATTGGGCTCAGTACTGGGGTCTGCATTACACTGGATGTCAGAGAAGCTGATGTTTGTATTTTCTGTAAACTTTGTGAAGGGCATTGCAGAAGCTTTATAGTAAGATACCCTCATTTTGAAAGTGTTGATAAGTTTTCCTTGCATGTATTTTTTTTTTAATCTCAAAAATCTGAACTATCTGCTTGGTACCATCAGATTATGAACAACTGAGACCATCAGTGAAGTCAATAGTAGTTTTGGGTATCCAATACTTCTCCAGATCAGAAGGTTTTGACTCCTCAGGTCCCATGTAAAATCTGTGGGAGCTTTCCTATAGTAATGTCTTCTCCAACAGCATTGGGGCCTGCCTTGCCTTATGGCTATTGTGCATGCCAGGGATATTATGCTCTCAGCAGAGAAGCAAATTTCCCTTTTACAATGTCATCCAAAACAAAACCCCAAATTGCACATATCTACCCCTTTGGCCTTTTCTACTCACAAATATGCTTGTATTCAAAAACTGACAATGTTGGGCCTTTCCTAATAAATATCTTCAAGGAGCACATTTAAATGCTTTTTCACAGAAATAACCATTCATCGGTTGCAAAAATGCAGAGAGATTTTTGTTCTTTCTGTTGCGAACAATATCAATTCAGCACAAATTTAGGGGAAGGAAGTACGACTTTTTTTTCCCAAATGCATGTAAAAAGGCTAAAGAACAAAATGTTGGGGAGGCAGCTTTTTTTGGCAGATAGTAAAATATAAAATATGTGATTTAAAAAAATGTTGGCTTAAAAATACACACACACACACAAATAATACAATAATATAAAAATACAGCTCAGCCAATGGCCTCTTAAAATTTACCTTTGGCATTACATTTGGCAGCCTAACACAAAAGACCCTTCCTATAAACAGAACTATAAAAAAAGAGAAGTTCATAAATTAGGTTGCAAGGGGTTGTAAGATCCTTTTCTTGATTCTCCAAACTCCTTTCCTTCCTGTCCACACACATAAGCATGACCAGTGAGGTATATAGAACGTAACACTGTCAGGCATATGCACAATAAAAAAGTGCATAAACATAGAAGTTCTCCCATTTTCTTGCGAACAGGTCGAAACTGTGTGGTTTGCATTTTCCTCCCCTTGGAAAAAAAAAAAAAAAAAAAAAGTTTTTTTTTTTCTCACTTTGGCAGGATGAAAAGGAACCCAGAGGAATATAAATGTTCTTTTCCCAGCAGCAATGATCCATTTCCCTTGGCAACATTTGTCTGATGCCACAGATACTACAAGGTCGTTGGGTTGCTTTACAACTCTCTGGGTAACTCCCCATGGAAATATCATACGTCTAGCACCATGTCATAGTGTTGCTCTTTCTTCCGCCTGCCACATTTGGTGATAACCATGTAAGAAGTCAAAAGCATAATCCAGTAACATGCATAGAGTGTTGTGCCAATGATGAGAACTGTCTGGTTTGACTCAGAAAATGGCTTTTTTGATTCCTTGTAGATAGTGAAAATTACGCCACCTAGGAGGATTGTAAACCAAATGGAGACTGGAATGAGTCCTATAAAATTAACTACAATGGTTTTTCTTCCTGATGTGCCCCACCCTGCTTTGTTTATTGTGGCAATTGCAAACATCTTTGCTGGCAGTAAACTTGACATGTACAACACTGAGTAGAGTGACATGAAAACCATGACAATGTTGCCCCTAAGGAAGCTGGCAAAGGAAGACTTTATCAGGCCCACTAACTGAACCGTCAACAAGAAGAGGAGGATGTTCCAGATTTTTCCCCTGTAGAAGAGCTGAATGACTGTGGCAATAAGGAAGAAAGGAAAGAATCCAGTGATAACAGCTTCATAGGTCATCCACAAATGGTGCTTGTGGAACCACATTGCATTATAAAGCCACTCTCTGAAGTACGATTTACTCCAGCGGGTCTGCTGATTCAGCCACCTGAGATACTCTATCGGTGTTTCGGTAAGGCACTTGGATCTAGCTGTGTACTTTGTTGCATAGCCCAGACTTAGCACTCTGTTAGTTAGATGCCTGTCATCTCCGAAGCTGCACTGGGAGCCCATAAATTCTTGATTGTACCAATCTTCCACGAACTCATGGAGTAAAGAGTTTCTGTACATTCCCAGAGGTCCGCTGATGCACTGTACACAGCCAAAATAGGACTGGCAGGCTCTTTCTATGTTAAATGCCATCCAGTATCTCACACTGCTCAGAAAGGAGATCCAGGAATCATATTTGTTCAAAATCTGCAAAATACAAAATTTTTTCAGTTTAGGTGAGGTCTTGAGACACACAATACAAACATTGGCTCAATAAGGAATTTGCAGAGACTAGAGCATCATTAGTTGCTCTCCTGTGTCCAACTCATGGCGAATCCAGGAGTTACGTATGCAGTCTAGGGCATTGACGGGAAGGGCAAGGTGAAGCCTTTAAAAGTCTTTTCCACCAAAATGTTATATTTTCTCTCACAATCTTTCCTCTTCTCCACCAAGAAACTTATTTTCTGGCTCCTTCTTCCTTTTCCTTCACACTGAGTTAAGGTCCTCCTAGGCTCAGCCTCTCCTGAGAGGAGATGGTGGAGTCCTAGATGTGGCCTCTTTCTTCTCTCTCCCCCTGACCACATCTTTAGGACTGACAGGATTCCTTCCAGCCCTCCCAAAGCTAATCCAGACCATGAGAAAGGCTAAGCGCATGGTCTTTGACCTACATTTTGGTATCATAAGGTTTGCCCTAGAGGTTTGATGCTAGACTATGTCCCCATATCTGACATTAGGACCTCTAAGGAACAACCTGTTCTTATTTGTCTCTGCAGTACCAGCCCTGTTATGTTGCCCCAAGACATACTGTGATACACCAGTAGAGTCTTGTTTTGGCCCACATAAAGGTCTCAGTCTTTCTCTTCTGTATGCCCCAAGACTCACCTGAAGCTCAGGTCTACACTTAAAATACAACATAGACATAGTCTAGGAGTCTAAACACTCCTAGTGGATGTGGATGTATGAGTGCATGCAAATGCTCAAGTCCATGTCTTCACATTCATGTTCTCAGCACACACCTTGTGCTGGGGATTATGGCAAGGAAGTGTGTAGCAGGGTGGTTGTGCCAGCTCTGCACCAGTATCTTCTCAGTGTGCGGATTTTCAGGGGAACATGTGGTCTACTACAACTAGAAATAATTTTTCTGCAACTAGGAAAAAAATAACCCAGTCTTTTGCTCTGATGGCCCTAATTTCTGTCAGGATAGAAGGCCAAGGGCAAATCTTCACTGCTTCAACTTCATTTCAGAACATTTTAGAAGGAGCAAGGCCCAGGGATAGGTTCAAGCTTGGCTCAAATGTATCTGGTATATGCTGGAAAGTGAATTGGGAAAAAGAAAGCCCAGAGCCTTCATTCTGAATCTTTTCCTCCCAGAGGACACATGTTCTTCACCCTTCTCTCTGCAGATGGTTATCAACCTTCATTTTCATAGCTGAATTCATACTGTCTCCTTTCAGTGGTACTCACATGTGTCTCGTATCTCACGTGTGTAGAGTGAGTGCGATGCCTGGTTCATGGTCAGTCAAGAGCTGCAAATATATTCAAGCTTCTGTGGGAATCTTAATTTCTGGAGTTAAGATCCACATGCCTGAAATACCTCTGACTACTGGGGCATTCATTAGTAAGTGCCCATATAGATGGTCCTTTCTCCTCTGCCTCACATAAAAGACCGAGTACAGGGGACCGATCCTAACACCAATTGAAATATCCAGATGCATTTTTCTTTATGAATTGCATCAGAAGCAATTGTATCAAAAGGAATGAACAGTCTTTTGCTGTAGTTGTCAGACAAACTCATCAATGCTGGAAATCCTAACAAAAGTGGAGCTGGGCTGACTTGGGGGCTTTCCATTGTCCTGCCTGACAGAGATGCAGGGGAAACCCAACAATACACAGAGTGCATAGTGCACTGCATTTCAAAAACGCTTTTATTCCTAACAATCTTGGCTGCCAGTAGTAACATAACTGAAGTGCTCGGGGTGCTGGACTTGGCTTTGGGAGACCTGTTCTCAATTTCTTGCTCCCCTATAGCTTTTCTTTGGTATCCTGGGCAAGCAGTTATACCCAGTGACTCAAAGATGCCACAACAATCCTGACAATGCCAGTGCCCATCTTTTCACATCTATGGGGAAGAATAATATATGTCTGCTTTCTATGGGTGTTAAAACCATACAGTGCTCACCTCCAAGAACAAGAGTTTCTGTTCAACAGACAGAAAGGGTAAGGTATCATAAGAGCCCCTATAATGGTATCACAGTATATTCAATGTTATTACAGGCAGGGAAATATGTTGCAGTGCAAATAGCTGCTGAAACCCCTCTGTTAATCTGAAATCATTGTACTCACCTGCACATCACCTCCAACTCCTCCAACCATTGGATCTTCTTCTAAAACCTTTACCATTTCCACTGATGAGGCTGGATCAAGCATTGTATCTGAATCACAGACCTACAAGTAAGACCAAACAAGAAAAAAAAGGGTTAAGAAGTACACTAGTGAAGATAATAAAAATCATGAGAGAGATTGTAGTGTGACTCTAGATGCATATTCTTCTGAATGCAATTAAATCTCACTTTGGAGCCTGCGGTGATACTCCTGTTAGAGGCCATTTGTATCAGGCAGCAAGGAGTGGTGCTGAACGGAAGAGAGTGCTCATTAGTGCTGTGCACACAAACAGTCCCCTCTTCTGTATCGGCTCTATTTGTTTTATTGGCACACTGGGCTGGCTTTTTGGAATAAGAGATGCACTCTCAGAGACAGGGCACTGCAGAGCAAGACAATGTTTGT